ATAATTATAGAGGGTGTTCAAGAATACTAATTTGCTGACGGAGGCTTCGTTAAAAAGTTATTAACGTTTACAATTCCGCCCGTACTGAATTTTTTTCTCGAAAATGCGTAGGATTTCGATGGTATGCCTGTTCACCAAAAATAATTGTAGTTGTCCCCCGCAACCGAAAATAATTTTTCCAGAACGATTTGAAATTTTTCATTTTCGTCGAAAATTTGTCCACCTTTCAGAATTTTTTTCTCGAAAATGCGTAGGATTTCGATGGTATGCCTGTTCACCAAAAATGATTGTAGTTGACCCCCGCAACCGAAAATAATTTTTCCAGAACGATTTGAAATTTTTCATTTTCGTCGAAAATTTGTCCACCTTTCTGAATTTTTTTCTCGAAAATGCGTAGGATTTCGGTGATATGCCTGTTCATAAAAAATGATTGTAGTTGACCCCCGCAACTGAAAATAATTTTTCCAGAATGATTTGAAATTTTTTAATAACTTTTTAACGAAGCCTCCATCAAGAAATAGGTATTTTTGATTTTCGTCCTATTTTGGCCTCCAAAATTTCCCATTAAAATTTTTCCCAGGGGTGGCCAAACACCCTGTATATTTCTCAATTATACATTTTTCAATTGACTTTTCTCATCCCGATATGTTAAAACATTTCCAAGATTTACATAAAAAAGTGAAGCACAATTCAGAGCATCAATATACATTGGAACATACGAGGACCGATAAATCTTGTGGCTCTTCGTTTAGTAACCGGACACTGAACATTTATTTTCGGAGCAGCTATGAAAAAAATGAAAAAAACGAATCGTATCGTTTTATTTATTAACGAGGCGACGATTCACAGTCGATTTCCATTCAACTGCCGAATATTTCCAGGGCGAGAAATTAATTCGAAATCGATCTGGCCCGCAAAACTGTCAAAAAGGAGAAACAAATCGAATTCGTTTTCGCGATAAATCGTCTATTCTTTCGTTTATAAACGAGATAACGGTTTCGCATCAAGTTCCATTTGAATGGTGAAATTTTCTAAAAGGAATCCGTGCGAGAAACGTGATACGTATCTCGAATGGACGGGCGTCGATCGAAGAAAATTTCAATAACAAGACGGAAATACCAAGGAACGTATCGAATCCATGGATGGGGAACACAATCGCGACGGTACAACGAGACGCTGACTAACAATATGCTCTGCACCGTTGAAAAGATTTTCACGACAGGCTAAAGTGGCCGTTGAAATCTCGTTAGGGTGAAAAAATGCGAGGCTGGAAAGCGCGTCACCCGAAAAGCCACTCGTTCCACGTTTTTCCTACTCCTTTCCTCTTGCTAATTCCCCTCCTACTCTTTGCTTTCGTCTGCACTCGTCATCCTATTGTGTACCAACGAATAGGGAGACGAGATTGCGATGCAATTTTACGAAGCACCGAGTGAGAAAGTCTTTTACGGCGAGACAGCGATGCGCGATTCGTCGCGGACCAAGATAGAGAATATACGGCATACGATGCAAGAAAAAATGTTCAATATCGAGTCCAACGGGTAAACGAAACAGATTCCGATTTCGTTCACACCATTTCGCATCTCGACGATACGAGATTAGAGCTGCACAGCGTTTTTAACCCCTTGCACTTTTAAGGACTGTCGAGGATGGTCAGATGCGTATGGTTGGATTCAAACACATGGACAATAAACGTAACTATATAAACTATACTATTTAATATTTACTAACTATTTAACATGTGACTGCTCTCGACTAACGTTCGATACAGAGTGACTTAAACCTAAACACCTCACTCGATACCTACTCTAGCTTAGACTAAACATAATCAACGCCAACAGTTCACGGTCGAAACACATACATTTCTTACACACTACTTTCACGAATCTGACTCGTGATGAACATTTTAGGCCAAACTTGAACATCACGAGTCAAACGTGAATAATACGAGTTTTACTTGTAATCGACATTTTATCAAAATATGAATATCACGAGTCGAACTCGTAAATATCGATATTCCGTCGATCGACATATCGTATTTGAAGTTCCAATATTAGGGCTCGTTTCGATCATTCGGGCGTAGGGGTGAGGCACAGCTTCTTCCGAATGTCAGCATAGTGCCAGGGATTAATGCACGCGCGTTAAAGAAAACCCCTAAAGGGTAACGCGCGCTGGTCCAGGGTCGGGAACGCGTCTAATTGAATTTACGCGCGATTTACATCAAGTCACGACGAATGATACGCACCGTTCATAATCAACCGTGCATAAATCGCCGCGTGGCAAACGAGGCTTTAAACCATCGTCTGTCCCTGTCGCGTGTAAAGAACCGTGAGAAACCTGGATATGCTTCTGCGCGTACTAAATATCGACGCGATGGTACTTATACGTTGATAGAGAGCTATCGATATACGTGTTTAATTATTTATAATTGCGTAGAACCAACGATGAAAGTGTGATGGAGACTTTGATCAAACGGAACGGTCATCGTTACGTTTCACGTGGAAAAACAGTAACAAATGCTATTGTTGCTACGTAATTGGGACGGCTCTACGTTTGCCTTTTTACGGCAACTTTCTCTATTTAGACTCTAAATTCGACCTGTTCCTCGTCGTGTTTCCCGTCGCCTCGTTAGCTGTCTCGGAGTTTCCTCTACCGACGGTTTTTCGCGACGGGGGTGAAGAGGTGGCAGTTTTAGCTACGCGAGGGATTTTCCACCGCCTGTCTCGATCCCCGAGTCCACGATAAAGTTACGGTCTTAAGGATACACCCGATCGAAAATAACTATTTTTTGTTTCCACCTTAACGATTAATACTAATAGGATAACCCAAGAGAATGGTACGCGAGAATGGCCAACATTAGACACGCACGAGTCACGCTCGGTCAAACAATAGGCAAATCAGTCCAAAAGCGGCTGTTGTTTAATGAAAACGGTATTGTTACGATCTCCAAATAAATCGCGGCATCGGTGGCTGGCGGTAATACGACCGCTATACGGCGTCGAAATACGAATCAATTCGAATGGTAATTTAGTGGCGATGCTTGCTCGGATTATACGTACAGGACGAACAGCATTTCAGATCCCCCGCGAATGCACGGTATGTTACGTGCGCATATTAGCGAATACGCGTTAGCCAAAAATCCCGTGTGTCGTTGGTTCTGCTAATTTTTCGACTTACCGGCCCCGGCCCGGTCCGCGAAAACTTTCCCTGGTTCGTGCACTATTAATGCGGCCGAGTGTTGCACAGAGTTCTCTCTGCAACCAGTTAACACGCACCCTCTCAAACTTCCGACGAACTTTTCGTCGCTAAAACAATTTGGCCGTGGCAAGATAACGTGGCCGGATAAAGCAACGCGAATTTCTCGACGACACTGTGTCGTAATACCTTTCGCGCCCCGACCGTTTGATAACGTAATCGTTTATATTAATCCTTTTTAACGAGCGTGTACGTGTAGGAGGCGAGCTAACGGCGAATACGTGACTCTCGCGACCCGGCTAACCGACAGTACCAACGAATACGCGTCAATTTATGATTTCATACCAAGACGAGGCGGCGATATTCTCCACCGGAATTCGCCCAGCATTCTCCTCGGTAATTAAATACGCCAGTTTTCGCATCAGTTCTTTCCCATCCGAGACTGGTACTTGAAACGTCTTCGCGAAGCATACAACGCCGGAGAAAAACAACTCTTTTCTTTTCACGCTTCGTCTCGTATGATTATTAATTTTAATGATTCCGGGAATGTCCGACTTATTGTCCAACCGTTGACTGTCGCCGGATGCAACATTGCTTATACATTGTTGCTGCAACGTTCGTTGACACGGAGGAGAATCAACGTTAACGCGCATTGTTTAATTTTCCTTTGTTTCTACGACAATCCGTACTCGGATTCTGCGCGACGTCAACGACACAACGTAATTTCACTGGATAAATGTGACAGGAAATCTTACGAAGAAACTTTGTTACGCGTCACTATGCAGCATCGCGAGACTGGGAGGTTAACTCGAACCGAGTGTCGCTGCACTCGTCAGTGTCAACGTTTTCGCGCGATCGAGTAACGCGGGTTAATACGCAAGTGACATCGAAAAACTTACCCGATTCCCGATCGAACGATTCGCACCGAGGGATCACAATCAGCACCACTCGTTCGTATCTCCTTGAAAGACTCCAAGATTCACGAAACGTAAGTCATGACACAAACCGAAAACGATGCGCGTTCGTTCGCATCTAAAATGCAACTTGAACCTTAGCCCGCGCTTTAGTGACTGCCAAAGAATCTAGAGTGGGGAGCCTCTACATCGCGAGACTATGTTTGCGAGAAATCGCCACCAGGTAGCAGTATGTACCCGGCCAAGTTTTTTAGTAAACATCATTAAAATAGATTTCTACCGTGACGATGCTAAACCGATGCACGTTACTGCAGGGAATGATTTTATCTCCGATCGAAGATCAGTTATCATTGTCTGTGCAACCGCCGTGGAACAATATGGCGCCACAGACTGCATCGTCTGTTATGGCGCCTACTTTGCATTTATTTGTCATCGATATAATGCAGTTTATTCGATTAACACGACCGACGCACTCTTATTCATTTGTGTATGCAATATTGCCGGTAGTACGTATTCTTTCGACCGTCTAGGGAATTTTAGGAAAAAGGTAGTAATGTCGATACACATGTAGCGACATACATACATGTAACAGTCTCGGTCGACTTGTTGTAATGTTTCAAAGAAACCAAGATAAATTTGATCCTACGATTTGCATTAAAGGGATATGTGCCGAACATACGCTGAATATTTATATTTTATTCCTAGATATTATTATTCCTAGTAATTTGCGTTTAAATTCGGCGCTCGATTTCGTTCGTATCGAAAGGCGTCGTGAGATGGGAGTGCGTTAGCCGTTCGAAGCGCCATCTCGATTGGGAAACGATCATTGGAACGGCAAGGGGCAGGGCGGGGTGTTGCTGACGTCACTTTCGGCAATGTCCGCCGACACTCGAGTGACCCGATCTCGCCCGAACGGGTCAATGTCTGAGGAGGCTTCGAAAAATTTGTAACTGGTGTGGTGTTCCCGTGCTCGACGAGGAAGAGAAGTCGTCGTTGATCGTCGAGAACTGATTTTGTCGCGTTAATCAAGTTCGCGCCTTTATACCTTTTCCGGCGCTAGGTGCGAAGCGTCGTTGAATTGTACAGTGATTTCACGGTCGTCGAAAGTAGAGGCGAACAACGACGGCGACGACTACCTCCCCTCGAGCAACGACGACACGAACGACGGCGACGACGACGACGACGACAACGACGACGACGACGGCGACGACAACGACTACGACTACGACGATTACGACCGCGACAACAACGACGACGAAGAAGAAGAAAACGTCCACGTCGGCGTCTACACGGTCCTCGATCGTTCCTCTGTGTAGCTTAGCGCCTGTCGCGGCAAAATGTGCAGAAACCTGGCAAGTCGACAACGTCGGGCCTGAGAAGTCGGGACGCGCGTTAGAGTGACGAGTACCGACGGGATTCAAAGTGTATCGAGAGAGATAACGCAATTGAGAAAGAGTGGCTGTGGCGGAGGTGAGGCGGTAGGCGCTTCCCCCGCACCCTCCATAAGTACGAGGACGGGAGTGAGAAGACAGAAAAGCGAACAAGGGGGAGAGAAAGGAAAGAAAGAAAAGGCGAGAGAGTAAGGGAGGTGGACAGAGACAGTGGACGACTACGCCGTTAGGCTAAAAAAGAGAAGACGAGCGAAGAAAGAAAATTGGGGAGCGCGAGTGGTCGGTGTGCCAGAAGTAACAACGGTCTAACAACGATTAACCGTCAAAGGCGTTGTCAAAAAAGTAAAAATTAATCGTGCTATCAGTACCATAGAAGCTACGGTGAGGTACATAGGTGGGCAACGACGGAGAAATCTGACCCGTCAGCCGGATCGTCGTGGAGTTGCACTATATAGGAAGGCTACCAAGTGCGGCGGTGTGCCTCCACTGGCGAGCGCGTACGAACCATTCCGAAAACGTCGACCCCCGCTTCCCCTCGCGGCATAGCTCTCCGCAACACTCCGCGCCCTAGTCAGGTTATTAGGTAGTAGAACCGCGCTTCTCGGTTTGTGATATTCCCTGACAGCGGCGAGCAATACGAAAAATTGTCGTAAATTGTGTCAATCCGCGTAGTTGGACGCCACCGGCGCGGTATCGTAGCCGCCGGTGGACATCGCTGAAAGAAGAAAAAGAGCATCGTGTGAATCGGATCGGACGGCAAGCCTGTCGCGTCAAGTGCTTGGTGCAAACGGAGTGTATATAACCCGGTACGCGTTGTTCCATCACGACGAACGTTGATCGCGAGAGTCGCTACCATCGCCGCCGACCACCATCGTCACCGAGTGCGAACATACTTAAAGGAAGTGTCAAGAGTGCGAACAAAATTCTGACGCCCGCCGCTTTCCCTCCTTTTTCCCTCTACTTGGCTTTGCCAGCTAACCATCCTCCTTATCCACGGTTTTCTTTACTTTCTTCTTTCTCGATCTTGCGCGCGTTTTACTCGCTCGTCGTTTTTCCCTCCCTTCTATCCCTTCGGCTCCCGCCCGCCCTCTCTTTTTTCTTACTCTCTTGCTCTCACCCTCTTTCTCCCGTGTTGTTCCATCTCACTCTCTTTCTCTCCCTTCATCCGTCGATCGAGCACGACCGTGGCGTAATATAGAAGAACAGAACCGTGTAGACGTGTATATGCGTGCGTGCGATGTGATTATCGTTCGTGCTGTCATTGATGTCCGAGGTGGTGTCGACAACGACGACGACGAGTTCGGACGACGAAGACGACGACGACGACAACGAGTTGCTGGCTTTTTTTTTCCCGCAAGCCTTTCGTAAAGAGGAGGAGAAGGAAGTGGCACGGCCAGCCGAGGCGGCGGCCAGCGGAAACAGAAGCGGCATACTCCAGACCTCGGTGTCAGGTGGAGGTGGAGGAGCCGGTCAAGAAGATTTCAGGATGAGCGGCCGACCGAGGACCACCTCCTTCGCCGAGGGCAACAAGCTGCCTGCAAATCCACCCCTGGGTGGCATAAAAATCAGCAGTGAGTACCGTAGGATGTGCCTTAACCTCTAGCACAGCTTTTACTCAACTCTTGGGCTTCTCCCCTCCACTCGCCTATCCCCGCTTCCTTGCCCCTCCGCGTCCTTTTGCCCTCCGAGAATCCCCCTTCCTCGCTGCCGCCCCTCTGCTGCGATCTTTCTCTTACCGCCTCGCTCGTTCGCCTGTCCGTCTCCGAATGCAGAGCTGTGCGTCTGCGTGCGAGTGCCTGGGTTACTTTTGGGAACGCGATGGAGCGGGTGCCCGAAGAAGAGGGTAGGGGGGATTCTTTTTACTCGCAGCTGCTACTTAGACTACCTTCGCGATTCTCTATTTTAGCGGCTTCTACCGAATTCGATGTTTACGCGGTACGCGTATCGCGAGTGTGCTCGCATTTCAGGGTTTAACCGCTCTGACGTTGCCAAAATTCCGCAGTGTTTTTCGATTCTATGTACCGGTAATCGCTGTTGCCTACGTCTCCTTAAACCTTCTGCTCGTGGTGTTCAGTTTCCTGTGACAAGTGTAACGATATGATATCGAAACTTGAACGGTAAACATTGGATTCTGCCGATACCGCTACGCAAACAAATTTGATTTTAATTAGTTTTATCGTATAACCCCTTACTACATTTCGACGTTGCACGAATAACACCGAGTGCAAAATTAAGAAGCAAAGAGTGACGTTTCTTCGACGATCCTAACCTTAGTTTTCGCATGTTACCTTACTTGTGTTGATTGCATGATTATCAATTTTATATTCTATAAATAATGAACCGTAAAATGCAGTAATTAACTATCGATTAAGTGTTTTTATGTCTTATAAAGTAAATATGCCAGCAGTATTATTAAACTTAAGGTACGCATCCAAACGATACAACTTGTCTTTTGTTACTTTACAGAGTCCTGTAAAGTGCTCGAACTGCGAGACTATAGCTTTTTATATTTTGTTTAATAGGCTGTATCGAAGGTAAAAGCTATATATTTCCATATTGTTTAGTGTCATGGAATATAATAACTGCAACTCTAGCACAGACAATTGCTTAAAAGCAGTAGTGAAAGCAAATAAAACTGTTGGCTTGAAATCCAACGATAGTATCCTTTAGAGTTTCGTGATCATGCGTAGCCAAATCATATAATACCCAGAAGAAACTGTTTTGGAACATTAAATCTCGATGGAAACAACAATTTTACGTTAAGTTGTATGGTTTTATAATAATATGTTTGAAACAAGTCTTTTTTATCTCCTTTTGTCATGTTTTGAGACATTTTTCAATACCGTGAACAAAGATTCACAGACAGCTAGTGGACTATATTGTTTGGGTTATTTTAGGTTAGGATTTCTTATACATTCCATTTTGCTTTAACAGTGGAAAGTCTTGTAGATGAAAACATATTAGAAACTTATACCAAAGTTGAAATACAGTAATCGAATACATAAGTTCATAATTACGATACAATGAAAACATTTGTTTCTCTCTACCAATATATATATACAGTACTTGCTTTAATAAATACCTATCGTTATGTTAGTTGTTTCTGTATTAGCTCTTTGTAAATGTAATATGCTTATGCTTAACAAATGAAAATTATTATTTATATATAAAGAAAAATGCAAATGACCTTTCCTGTTGTTCAAAGATAACTATTTTTCGAATTCTGAATGCTTTCTTTTACAACAGAATATTCATTGTTTGAGAGTTCTTTGTAATTTCTGATGACGAATCCGTGTAGCCCATAAATAATTGTACGCGCAAGTCTGGTTTCTTTGTCCTTTGTATGTAAATACAAAGGTTAATTCTGTTGTTCTTCGCGCTAATTTTATCTCGTTGAAAAGAAAGATTTTTTCAGGAAAGTGATTCTAGATTAGCTTCAGCATACACGCGTGAAGCTATACTCGGCAAACTGTAATATTCTTGAGGAACGTGTTGCGTTTGTGGTACTATGGCGGTCAACAATCAAGGGTATCATCTGCCTGAAATTTGGGATACGCCCTTCCAGTCCCTTTCAAATTTCAGGTATACCTTCTCTATTGTTGGGTCACAATAAGAGAATCTGTAATGTCGGAGGGAAAAGGAAATCGCTATCGTAGCTGCGTTACCAACGGGTAGGATATTTGTAAAATAGAATCTGAACGGCGCCCTATTCTTCGTTTTTAAGAGATTTAGAGATTTCCAAGAAATAATTCGCAGAAAAGTTATTCCATCAAATTTAAAATAAAAATATATATTCCTCCGATGCTCACGGCCCAATATCGTGCGAACGAAGGACACGTTCAGATACAATTTATATAAACGTTATAAGTTAATCGTTATGTAATTAGTCGCACTCGAAAAAGCAACAGTCGACGATATCAATTTTTAACGCAACCATCGAACACATGTATGTAGGGATGCTCGAAATAAAGAGCCTTCGTTCGAGTTCGTGTCAATCACCGTAGGTTGATATCGATACAGAACGTACAAAGGTGTCTTTCGCGCATCGCATATTTGGCGGGCGTTCGATACACGTGCAATTACTGCGTCGAATCTGACTGCAACCGTAATTATTGTTTAGTTGGCGCATTTATTTCTTTTTTGCCAGCGTTTAAATTCGTTGCCCCGACGAACAGCATTACGGGATTAAATTCCGCGAATAGAATTAACTTTGATCTTTCCTCGTCACTGGTATGACACTTTGTTATCTAATCAAATCTACATGATTGCACAAACGAATTGTCTAGCTTTCTCCTTTGCAAAAGTTAGAGAAGCGACGGTCTGGAAATTTTTCACGCTACCGTGTATCTTGTCCAAACAAATCCATCGTACATATTCGTGTCTTTGCTAGAGATTATCTCGTTACGAGGCTGCAGACATCAATGCTATGAATCGACGATCAACGATAAATCTAACTTCTTTGTACTTTGTCTACAGTTGGACAACAGGCTGAATAGAGAATAGACCAAGTTAGAGGAAAATAGTTTGGCCGTGACTAGGACAGATGCAAGAAAAGGTTCGGCTGAAGATTCTTCGATATGTTTTCTGCTTGTTGCACGCGCATCAGGGAGGAAGATCCAGAACGCATGCGCAGTTTTTCTAAAGATAGTGTTCGATTAACGCGCTGTCGATGACACTATTTTCGCCCGTGGACGCGATGACATCGCGGAAGAGGCATCGCGTCGTCGATAGGTCGTGGCTAATTTAAAATTTTGATTAAACCTCGCGGTGAGAAGATAGATGACAGGCTTGGAGCATCAGTTTACGCTGGAAAATTTTCATTTTATTTCGCTTTTGTTCGACGAGGTCGTGCGAACGACGCGTGTCAACGACGACGTTAGGATATTGACCCAGTTTTGTAAGCGAGCGTACCATGCCGCCCATGAATGTGTCATGCGATCGTTTCGAGTTGATGTGCGTTCCTTCCCCGACCACCATCGGCAGTTCCGTCCTAGCGTATGAATATTTTTAATCAACAACTCCTACCCGTGACTATTCCGCCGTGTCGTAACACCAAGTTCGGATTGTCCGATTCGTTCCGTCCAACGGGACAACACAGACGAATTTCTCCGTTTCTCCAATGGTCAGTCTTGATATACGTACATACTTGGAGGTATTCTTCTAAATACACTTGGGGTGCTTCGTTGCTGAATAGATTCCTACTAAATCTTTCTCGTACACGGTTAAATTAAACATTTCTGAAACTCTGAATTATTAATCGTAAAATACGAAAACAAGCTGTTCGACGTACGGAATATCCCGCGAAATCGTTTTAGATAGAAAGAAACGTTGCAGACGTAGTCAGGCAGACCGGTAACTATGTATGCAACTATTATGCATTCGTGAGGTCATAATCGTCTACCATTACTTTGCAAATGATATTAATCCTGAGCGTGATTTTACTTTTAAAAATAAAGAGGTATCGAGATTCGCGACTCAGAGAGATATGCAGAGAAGCAACATGCGTGGCAAGGAAGAAAATTCAATTGTCCAGAACAAGCATTAAATTTCGCCTTCTTTGGGCATTTCTTCCATCCCAGACCGTTTGAACGACACGGGTCGACCTAGTTCCGCGGTACATCCTGTATATTATTCAACAGCTTTTCAAGAAGCCGACGACTCGGTCTCCTCAGCGTGTCGTTCGTCCTTGGTCGTTCCCGGCGACGATACGCTCTTCTCGCGCCAAAGCTTTCGCGACTGTTTGCGTTGCAAAAAGGTCGATCGCATTACCTGGTCACGTGTCGTGATCTGGGTCAATATACCCCCATGATATTAAACCGTTCGCAGCACGCGAAATTTACGATTCAACTTTTCCCTCGCGATCACGATCCTCGCGCGAAAACGAATATAGGTTTATCGCGGTCTCGACCATCGCGTGAATTTAAATCGACTATCGGCTACGAGCAGGTCGAAAGGTTCGAATTTCCAACAGAAAAATGCGGGCTCGCTAAACAACGATCAGTCGTTCTCTAAGCGGTAATTGCTAGACAATATCGCAGGAACCGTTGGTTAGACGAGAATAACGACGACCGATCGGATTTATAAATAATCCCGCGCGATGGTCGATGTAATAATTGCATATCGATATCTCGCGGTTGCCAGGCAGAACGGAGACAATGCTGGTACCGTTCCTCTTCGTCGGTCAAGGATCGATTATCCTTACGGTGTAGTGGGGTGATTCTGATCCCGAATTAAGTTCATTCTAAACGGAGACGGGAGTTGTTCGGAGGCACTTCTTGCTCGTTCGAAAATTATTTCCTCGTTGATCCTTGATCGCCACTGTTGCTAACGGTAAACGTTTCGACACGAATATGTATTCCGTTCAAAAAGTGAAAGCAAAGACACGGTCGTTCGTTCGTACCGATTACCAATATTTATCTTTATTTATAAATAACCATGGAACAACTAATTAAACGAACAAATACACTGTGACCGATCGAACGTAATCGGGTTGCGCGGAGCAATGTCCGATCGTAAAGTAAAAAATCGAATGCGAAGCTATTTCGAGAAGGGTAGTCGTTATCGGACCAAG